CATGCGCACCCTCGTATGGTGTCGAGAAAGCGCCAGTTTTGCTATGCCCTGCGCGACCGTCGTGCATAGTGGGCCTGCTCAGTGACCACCCCCTGCGCACCTCATATGGTGTCGAGAAAGTGTCACGCTTGCTATGCCCTTCACGCTTGCTATGCCCTGCATGACCAGCGTGTATAGCGGCCGCGCTCAGAGACCACCCCCTGCGCACCCCCTATGGTGTCGAGAAAATGCCACGCTTGCAATGCCCTGCACGACCGGCGTGCATATCGGCCGCGCTCTGAGACCATTCCCAGCGCACCCCCACTGTGTCGAGAAAGTGCCACGCTTGCTATGCTGTGGACGACCGTCACGGATTGCGGCTGCGCTCAGAGACCACACCCTACGCCCTCCTTGCGGTGTCGAGAACATGCCACACTGGCGTTGTATGGTGTGTGCGTGTGTATGTGAGTGTGTGCATGCGTGCGGCTGCATGCAGACGTGTGTCTCATGTGCGCGTCGTCCATGTGATGAGCTCGGCCCCACTAAACATGCGGGGAAACACACGACTGGAGATTTGTTGGTATTTTCGGCCTCCGGGGGGGCCCTTCCCAGGCCTCGGGACCGTCAAAAAAAACAATTCAGGACGCAAAAACTGGTCCCCAGAAGGGGTCCGGACTTCTGAGGGTCACGTCATGAAAAAAAAAAAAAACACGACGTCGGGGGTCTGGGTACCCAGACCCCCGACGTCATGATTTTTTATTACATCGACCTTTGGAGGTCTCGACCCATTCCCCTGGACCGTCTTTTCATCCTGAGTCGTTTTTTGACGGTTCCGAGGGCCGGCAAGGCCGCCAGAGGCCGAAAATTGCAAAACACTTGCCGTCATGATTTTTTCATTACCCGAGGGGGTCTTGGTACGCGACCTTGGACCCTCTTTGAGCGCCCTGGGGGGTCTCTTGAATACATACTGGGCCGCCGCTTCGCGCACTGCGTGGGCGCCCTGGGGCGGCGTCCTTCCCAAAAAAAGCAGGTCTGTTCCCAGACCGAAGCTCCGGTAAGAGTGGCTGGAGGGGCCTGGTTTGGGAAGACCCGGTTGGTTTGGGAGGGGCCGGTTGGTTTGGTTGGTTTTACAAGACCTTGTTGGTTGGAGAAGACCCAGGGCTTGGTCTCGGAGGACCCGGTTGGTTTGGCAAGACCCAGAGGCTTGGTATGGAAAAACCCAGAAGCTTGGTTTGGCAAGGCCTGGTTGGTTTGGGAAGACCCAGTTGCTTTCGGAGAACTTGGGAAGACCCAGTTGGTTTCGGAGAACCCGGGCGGTAGGCTTGGGAACGCCCGGTCGACAAGAACGAGAGCGGGAACGAAGGCGGGAACGAAGGCGAAAACGAAGGCGAGAACGAAGGCGGGAACGAATGCGAAAACGAAGGCGAGAACGACGGGGAGAACGATGGCGGGAACGAAGGCGGGAGCGAAGGCGAGAACGAAGGCGAGAACGAAGGCGGAAACGAGGGTGCGAACAAGGCCGAAACACAGACGGGAACGGTGGCGAGAACACCCTGGTCGGTTCTCTTTTCGGCGCCCCCTCTCCGGCGGAGAATTGAGGCACGATAAGCAGGACGGAGCGGCGAGAGTGCGAGGGACGAAAAGCATGTTCATGGGATGATCACCGATGCAGGCAGCAACGGGCACGCATTCAGAGCCCAAGGCGAGGAGCAACTGATGAGGCAGGTCCCGCAGCGGTTGCTTCCCCTCGGGGCCCTCGTCAGAGGTGCCTTGCCGCGAGCGTGCGGGCAAGAAACCAGACGAGCGCGAGCAATGAATAGATGGATGGCGCGATCATCGAGGCGGCGGCAGAAGGCGAGGATGACTCCAATCGCATCAACGTCAATGTTGGTTTTCCTGCCTCTCTCCCTGCTGCTCTCTGCTCCTCCCCTTTCTCCCTGCCGCCTGCTTCCTTCTCCTTGCTTCTGCTGCTGCTGTTCACGCGCTCTCGCTGTCCTTGTTTACTCTCGCACTGTGAACTATAAGAACTGTACCAACCCCGTGCTTCATTACAGGCGGCCGCATTCTGGCGGCATGGGTTGGCATTGCTGCGTTTGACTAATCAGCTGGGTATAGTTGGTGTTCACCAGAAAAGGTTAGTTTCTGGCCACGCGTGGTTCTGTGTCAACGCTGGCTGCCAGCTCGTTCCACGTCGGGAAGCTCGCAGACACTGGCAGCTATGAGCCTGGAGCGCCTGCGCTGCGGTCGCTGCCGCGTCGTCGCCCGTCAACTCCCGGGGGGGGGGGGGGGGGGGCAGGCGGTTGGCAGGGCCCCCCTTTCCCCATCAGAGCGGGAGCCAGACGGGAACGAAAGCGAGAACGATGGAGGGCACGAGCGCGGGGACGAGGGCGGAAACGAGAAGGGAAAAAGGGCGGGAACGAACGCGAACACGAGGGCGGACATGAGGGCGGACACGAGGGCGGGAACGAGGGCGAAAACCAGAACGGGAACGAGAGCGGAAACACGAACGAGAAACATGCCCGAAACGATGGCGGGAACGTAGGCAAAAACATGTGCGAGAACGAAGGCGATAATGATGGTGAGAACGAAGGCGAGAACAAACGCGAGAACGATGGCGCGAACGAAGGCGGAAGCGAGGGCGGATTCGAGAACGAAGGCGAGAATGAAGGCGAGACCGAAGGCGAGAACGACGGCGAGAACGAATGCGAGAACGAATGCGAGAACAGGGGCGGGAACGAACGCGAGAACAAAGGCGAGAACAAAAGCAGTAACGAGGGCGATAACGAGGGCGAAAACGAAGGCGAGAACCAACGCGGAAACGAAGGCGAACAAACAACGACAGCTAAGCGAACACGAGGGCGAGAACGAAGGTGAGACCGAAGGCGAAAACGAAGGCGGAATCTAAGGCGAGAACTAAAGCCATAACTATGGCGGGAACGATGGCGAAAACGATCACAATAACGAAGGCGAGAACGAAGTCGAGGTCGAAGGCGAGAACGGAGTCGAGGCCGAAGGCGAGAACGAAGCGTGAACGAAGGCGTGAACGCACGCGAGAATAGTGGAGGGAACGAGGGCGAGACGAAGATGCGATTGGTTTGGGAAGACCCGGGGACCCGGCTGGGGAGATCCGGGAGCTTGGTTTGGGAGGGCCCGGGCGCCTGGTTTGGGAAGGCTTGGTTGGCTGGGGAAGACTTGGGCGGTCGGCTCCTGAAGACCCAGTGGGTTTGGGAAAACCCGGGCTTTTGTTCGTGAGAACCAGGTCGTTTTGTCCTGCAGCGCCTGGCTTGGGAAAACCCCGCCTCCGTGGGCGCCCGCTCCGGGCCGCGGGCCTCCTCAGGGTGGAACGCTCCCCGTGGCCAGCTTGACGCTGCTGTCGGGCCCCTCCCCGGGCACTTCTCGGGGCCCGTTTCGGGCCTTCGCTTGCGTGGCCCTTTTTTCGGATACTCTCTGATTTTTTCGGGGGGGGGGGGGGCGGGGGTGGGGGGGGGGGGGGGCGCTTCCCATCAGGCCTCTCCCGAAGCCGCTTCGACCCCATCTCCGAACACGTTTGGAGCGCCTCTTTAGGCCCTTTTGCTTTTCATCCTGAGGCGCCCCCGGGGCCCTCTTAAAGCTTCTTCTGTCGGGTCCCCTTGGAGCCCGCCTCGGGGTGCCCTTGGGGTCTTTTTGGGCTTCCCTTTGGACTTCTCCTGGGCTCCATTCGTGGCGCACTTGGGACCTTATTCGGGCGTTTTGTCGGTACGTGTCGCTGTTCGGTCCGCGACTCCGACACGTCTTCGCCCCGTGCCCAAAACATGTTCGGGTAACCCCATGACGTTGCGTGCGTGCGTGCGCATCTGCACCCTCCTGCAAAACTGGCCCCCAAACCGTGTAGAAGTAGAGCGCGAAACGAGCGCGAGGGGTTTATTGTCTTCATATACATGTATAGAGATCTAGAAGTATATATAGGTATATGGTTATGTGTATGTGTAGGCATACGCATATACACTCATACAGTCTGCGCATCATCCCATATGCACCTATATATATATATATATATATATATATATATATATATATACGCATATACGCATATTCCCAGGTACACATACACATAGAGAGAATCAAAGCAGTGCGGGGAGGTCAGGGGAGGCGGAGGAGAAGGACGGGCAGGTGCGCTCGCAGGACCCGCTTCGACGCGGTTCGACCCGCGGAGTGGGCGGGCGATTCCGATTTGAGTCGCTTTGGTTCGATTCGCCGCCATAGGCCAGGACCATCCCCAGACCCCCTCGGGCAATGAGACGATCACAACGGGAGGTTTCTTCTCCCTCCCAAGTTTCGGCCTCTGGGGGCCCTTGCCGGCCCTCGGGACCGTCAAAAAACGAATCAGGATGAGAAGCTTCTGCACGAACGAGCTGGGCACGGAAAGAATGGGTACAATGCTCAACAGCAGTTCCTGTTCATTTTGAACAGAATTCGCTGTCCGCGCCGCCGCGGCCTGTGTCCATTCGAGACAGAAGGCCGCCTGTCCAACAGCGGCCGCTGTTGGTTTGAGACAACATTTGTTGTTGGGCATTGTACCCATTTTTTCCGTACCCACTTCGGGCGTCCCAAAAGCTGGTCCAGGGGAAGGGGTCGAGACTTCCAGGGGCCGACGCAACGACAAAAAGTCCTGACGTCGGGGGCCCGGGCCCGCCGTCCTCTGCCGGGACCGGCCGTAATTAGCGGGGCGCGGCGAGCCGATCGTTTTTTGTTCGATTCGCGGCGGCTCGTTGGCGATGCGATCCGTTGCCTGTCAGATCTCCGCGGTGCGGTTCCGCGCGCGCCGGAAGCGTGGAGGCTTGGATTTTTTTAGAAAAACCGCACATGCGAGCGACCTTTCATCCGATGCTTCTGTGCAGTGCCATTTCGGCTGAAGAGCCCCCCGGAGGGCGAAGGCTGCCTGCGCCTGGCACACAAGACACATCAGCATCCGAGCAGGCTTGATAGTCCTTTCGATCGGGGGGGGCGGGGGGGTTGCAGAAGGCCGCCGTCCCGCCGGCGAGGCTACGCGGAGGACTACCAGCGCGTGGCCACCAACATCTCCACGCTCCTCGAGGCCACCCTGGCTGTGCGCAGGGGCTTGGACGTTTCGCAGGCGACGCGGGCGGGGGCGAGGGGAGGATCGCCCAGACTAGGGCGGGCAAATCGTTACGCCTGACACACACGGAACACTTCATTCGGCGGCGGGCAGGGGGGAAAGTGAGAAGGGGTGGGTCTTCCCAGAAGGCTCGGAAGTTCCTCGGCCTTCTGAGAAGTTTTCTAAGCCTTCCTCGAAAACACAGAACACTTCTCAGAAGGTGGGAGGGCTTCTGAGAAGCCTCGCCTCATTTGAGAAGGCCTTCTCCTTCTCATTTCCCCCCCTCGCTCGCCGCCGATTCATGAGAGAGTTCAGAAACAAGTGGGGCGTTCGAGAGGGGGTTTCGCCTTCATGGGTCGAAGGAGTTGGCGTCCCCTCATCGGCGGACGGCGGCGGAAGGTCTGCGGACGCTGTCGGGAACAAAACGACGGGGGCTTTCCGCTGTCTGAAGCCGGCGGAAGAAAAGATCTGCCATGTTTACGGTGTCTTTGTTTTAGGGCAACAGGGTTTCCAGAACCCGCTGTGTAGCAGCCCATGCAGCAAGGATATTGCGAAGGCCTCACGGCCGGTGCCGCCGACCCTGAAGACGAAGCTGTCTGTGACGCCGTGAAGGCCGAAACGTCGTATATGCTAGAAATGTAAGTTCCCGATGGAAAAGTGATGAGTGTGGCCTGTTGGGCCCTTCTTGGGGGTGCTCTTGGAGGGGGCCTGGGACGTCTTGGAGGCTTCTTGGACGGTCTTGGGGCTATCTTGGGCGTCTTCGGCCGATCTTTGGGCGACTCGGGGCAATCTTGGGCCGTCTCGGGGGCCATCTTGGGCATTCGGACCTCATTTGGAGTGTTTTCGAGGTTTCGAGGCCGCCCGAGGAAAAACGAATCTGCCCCCCCACCCCCCCACCCACCCCCCCCGGGACCCCACCCCCCCCCTGGGGAAGGGATCAAAGGGAAGGGGCTTCCCTTCGAATCGACAACGGCATGACGGCAGGAGGGTGCGGCCCTAAAAGAAAAAAGGGAGAAGGAAGAAGGGGGGGCGGCGAGGAATGGACGAGGAAGCCCCTCGCACACGCCGACAGGGTCGGCGGATTTGGGCGATTTGCATGGATCAGGGAAGTGTGCGAGCACGTAATGGAACAAAGAGAGGGGGGCATCCGTCAAACATAAGATCGGGGTCAGCCTCTGCAGGCTCAGGGGTCAATTAGAATTACCGCCACTGATCCGACAATCTGGGATCCCATTGGCAGTTTTCTTCGGCTGTCTTGGGCTCCGGTTGGGTGCATTCTGGAGGCCTCCGTGGTCCTTTTGGGGGCCTGGGGCCCCTGTTGGGGCCATCTTGGAGGCCACCGGTCACGAAGGGGGGGTCGGAGACGTGTCGATGTTGATGATGTTGAGTCTGAGGCTGAGGATGAGGATGAGCATGATGAGGATGATGATGATGATGATGATGATGATGATGATGATGATGATGATGATGATGATGATGATAATGGTGATGGTGATGGTGATGGTGATGGTGATGGTGATGGTGATGATGATGATCATGATCATGATCATGATCATGATCATGATGATGAGGATGGTGATGATGATGATGCTGGTGATGGTGATGATTGTAATGATGATGGTAACTGTGATGATGGTCATGGGTCATGGTGATGATGATTATGATGATGGTGGTGATGATGTTGATCATGATGATGATGCTGATGATGAGTATGATGACGATTATGATGACGGTGATGATGACGATCATGTTGTTCGTGATCATGATGGTGGTGATGGCGATGTTAATGATGGTGATGATTGTGGCGGTGATGATAATGTTCCTGATGATGAGGATGATGATAATGATGATGATGCTGATCATCATCATCATGATCAGGATGAGGATGAGGATGAGGATGCTGATGCTGTTGCTGCTTATTCTGATGTTGGCATGGTATTGTTGTTGGTGGTGATGGTGATGGTGGTGACGACGATGATGAGGCTGATGCTGCTGATGATGATGAGATTGATGTGATGATGACGATGAGGGTGATGAGGATGAGGATGATGCTGATGATGATGACGAGTATGCTGATGATGACGATTATGATGATGATGATGATGATGATGATTATGATGATGGTGATGATGATGATGCGGATGATGATGATGATGATGATGATGATGATGATGATGATGATGATGATGATGATGATGATGATGATGATGATGGTGGTGATGGTGATGGTGATGATGCTGATGATGATGATGGTGGTGGTGATGATGATGAGTGGTGCTGATGATGATGGTGCTTCTGCTGCTGGTGATTATGGTAGTGGCCATGGCCATGGTCATGGAGGGGATGGGGCCGGCCACTGTGGGCCTAGCATTGTGATGTTCCAACCTACTTGAGCCTCACGTAATCACCAGGAAGAATTTCGAGCGCCCAAAAAAGTACCGAAACTCTAGGGTTTTCACGTGTCGGGCCCTGGGAGACACTCGCCCGACACTGTTTCGACACTGTTTCGACACTCTTTTGACATTTTCCTGGTGCTCGAAATTATTTCTGGGATGTGGTCCGTCCTTAAGTAGGATGGGAACAACAGAAGTCTAGCACCTGCTGGCCCCAGGGGCCATTGGGCTGTGTGCGCGGCCCCTCCTCCTTCCCCTCCCGCGCGGCCGCGCCTCCCATCCCGTGGGTGTTGGTCCTCCTCCTCCTCCTCCTCGTCCTCCTCCTCATCCTCTTCCTCGTCCTCCTCTTCCTCCTCCTTCTCCTCCTCCTCTCCCTCCCTACTCCTCCTTCTCTTCCTCCTCCTCCTCCTCTTCCTCCTCTTCCTGGCAGCTGGAGGGCGGCGCCGCCTCAGGCGAAGCACGTGCGTCAGCAAGCTGGTCTTCCACGCCGTCTTGGGGAAGGGAGCTCCGCCGAGGGGCGCAGAGCCTCGCGGCTGGCCGGCGCATCCTCCGCCTGAGCCAGGGCCTGGGCGGCTGCACCTGTCGTGGGCCATGGCAATCGGAAGTCGAGTGGAGCATCGCACTGCGCCTTCGTCTTCACGGTGCCGCCGCATAAGGTTGAAGGAGCCAGGGGGGACAAGCCCGACGATAATCATTGATGACGACGAGGGCCACGATGAAGACGGTGGTCCCGATGATCGGCGTCGGCGTGGGCGTGACCCTTGGCCTGCTGCTGGACCAGGCCCTTGGTCTGCTGCTGCTGGACCTGGCCCTCGGCGTGAGCTTCCACGTGCTGCTGCGCCTGAGAGGGGGTAATCGACGAGCTGCGCATCGTTTGGCACTGCCCGCGGTGCCGCCTTTTCACTTCAACGGCGGGGCCCATGTCTTTCATCCTGATGTACTTCTGCGAGAATTGGGTGCTGACGCAATTGTTCACTCTGCTGATTGTCAGGCTTCTCCTGCTGGTCTTCGCGAGCGTTCCGATCTACCCCGCGAGCTTGGTGTGGACCCTCCTACTGATCTACTTGGTTGTCGGCCGGCCTGGTTCTTCCTCGTGGGCTTCGCCGTGACGATCTACAATACTAATTTGGCCGTGTGTCTTCTTCATGAACCTGGCGGGCCTGTTCGTGCTTGTGCTGCGTTGCTGTATGATGTCCGCGAGCTTCCTGATCTACATCACGCGAGTTTGGCGGGAACCGGCCTCATGATCTACTGGGAGGTGGTGCTGAGTTGGGTCTTCCTCCTGAGCCTTGTCGTGGCGATCTACGTCGTGAACTTGGTCGCGCAGCCCTTCTGCTTGAACCTGGTCGGGCAGATCAGCCTCATGAGCCTGGTTGCGCAGAGCCTCGCCATCCTGAGCCTAGAAGTGCCGAGAGCCTGGTCGTGCAGCTCTTCTACAGGAGCCTGGTCATGCCGACCTGCTCGAGTCTCCTTCTGATGTCATTGTCTCCTGTGCGGTGCCCTTGGAGGTGCGGTGCCCCGTTGGGCGCAAGGTGTTTGCTGATGGCATGGTCATGCTGAGCTCTGCTGGGTCCTCGTGCGTCTTCGCCCAGCTGGACGGGCACAAAAGGTGATCGGGCATGGCTTCGTTCGGCTGTTTCGTCGCGTGCGCGTCGCCGTCAAGGGGCGCCCTCTTGGATGCAGATTCGGCTGTGTTGATGCTGATTTGGTTTCGCGGCCTGATCGAGGCCCCTGAGCAGCACATGTGCATCAGGAGGCGAGAAGGACCTGCTGGCCTCGTTGTGTCGCATCCCTTGTCTTCGTTGTGCCCCTCGCGCTGTCGTTTCTGCGCTCTGGGGCGTTGTTTCATCCCCCTCGGCCTCTTCTTCTCTTGTCTTCTCCCTCGTTCCTTCGTTGCCCTCTGTTCTGGAAAACCAGATGTATGCCGTGGACGGGTCAAGCACCATATCGTGGTGAGGATGGGGCCGAGGAGTGGGCAGGAGAAGGCGACGGGAGCAGGAGGCAGGAGGAAGAGACACCAGGAAGAAGCACGGACATGGGGGGAGGAGCAGGAGCAGGAGGCAAGAATCGGAGCAGGCAGGAAGAGGCCGAGGCAGGATGATCCAGGATGAGGGCGAAACGTCAGGAAACAGGAGGAAGAGGCGCGAGGTGGGGATAATAAAGAAGGAGGCAGGTGGTGGAGGACAAGTCAAAAGGATGGGACTGGAGGGGAAGGAGGAGGAGGAGGAGGAGGTAGGAGGAATATGGTAATGGAGGAGGAGGAGGAGGCGGAGGAGGTATGAGGAGGAAAGGAGGGATGAACCAGGATGAGGTGCGTGGAGGAACAGGGGTCAGGAGGAGGAGGAGGACCAGTGTAAGCCTAAGAGCCATCAACGATGTTGGAATACACCCTCCCTCCCTCTTCATAGGCCCCTACAACGTTTCATTTCCATTGAGGCAACTGCCTGGTTGGAAGACAACCGTTTGAAGACCCTGAAGCATGCCAAAACATTGTTCTCTGGACTCCAGCGCCACGGATCAACCTGACTGCTGCGTCCTGACGACCTTGGGTCGTGCCGGAGCGCCCTGGTTGGGACTTCAACACCGCGAACCAACGGAACTGTTGCACCCGCAAAGTCCAGAGCTCTTCCAAAACGCCACTTCTGGTACGGTAGGTTTGCGTCGTGTCGACCGGCGGCGACCCCGCCGCCAGCGTTCAACGTTGAACGCCGCCAGCGACCCAGAATCGGTCGATGTTGAACGATCGGACGTTCCGGAAACAGCGGATCGTTCAAGGTTGAACGATCCGCGCTGTGTCAGGAACCAACGCCAGGGTTGACACGACACGGATCTGCCGTAGGCTGATCGCTGTAGCCCGTGGCAGCTCTGCAGATAAAAACGAATGCGCGCGGCGCTAAGGCGAGAGCGCCACGTGTTGAAGAGGCGCCGCCCTCCATCCGTGGAACCCTTGCACGCGTTTGAAGCGAGTGTGCGCGGCGCGGAGGCGAGGGAGCCACAGTTTGAGAACGGGTCGCCGTCGATCCGTGAGAGCCTTGCTCGCTTTAAAAACGAATGTGCGCGGCGCTGGCGCGAGAGCCACATGTTGGAAACCACCGCCCTGCATTCGTGAAGTTGCTGCCAGCTTTTCTGGCATCAGAGTCATACATGGTCAGGAAGTCTCAGACGAAACGCCCGGCCCGCACTAACAAATGGCCTCGGGGTGCGGCAGGGAGAAGTTTTTTCTCATAAAGAAAAGGAATGGAGGAGCGAGGATGAGGAGGAAGGAGGAGGAAGAAGAGGAGGAGGAGGAGGCAACGAGGAAGAGGAGGAGGACGACGACGACGACGAGACCGGAGTATGCAGGAGGAGGCAGGGGGAGGCAGGAAGGGAGGAGGAGGCAACGAGGAGGAGGAGGAGGAGGAGAGCGAGGAGGAGGAGGAGAAGGAGGAGGAGGAGAGCGAGGAGGAGGAGGAGGAGGAGGAGGAGGAGGAGGAGGAGGAGTTGTTGTGGCCGCGGGGGCTCCAGCATCATCCGTGCCCGTGTGGCGCGTGGCGGGGCCCCGGCAGGATGATGAGGATGCAGGCGGGGGGGGAGCGAAGGATGAGGAGGAGGACCCGCTTCGAGTAGTAGGGTGCCTGGAGTGGTGCCTGGAGTGCTGCCTTCCTCCCCCTCCTGCCCGCGCCCGGCCTCCTTTCTCCTCCCGCGTGCCATGCGGCCCAATTCGCGCTTTGCGTGACGCAAAAGAGTGTGTGCGTGGGTGTTCGTACGGGGCCCTCGGGCTGTACACCGCCCCTTACGGGTCTCTACATCTCTTCCTCCCCATCCCCAGTATCATCATGAACAGGCTCGTTCCCGTCACAGCTTGCACTGCGTTGGAGGGGTGCGTGGGTTGCAGGAGAAAACAGGATTGGGAGGACGACGCGTGCCGAGGAGGCTCTCCTAATCCAGCTCCTCGCGGCACGCCCAAGACCAAAGTGTTCAGGGCAGATCGCATTCACTTTTTTTGTCTCTTACTGATTCGCAACGATCTCGGGGCAAGCTAGTGAACCAGTGAACGAGAGGCAGGACAATGGACTCCACAACCACAATAACAACAAACGCAAAAAAAACGGCGCTTACCATTACTTTCATGCAAATTAAAGGGATTTCCACGCGAGGTCCGCTGGACGGATCAAATCAGAGGTTTTTGGTTTGTAGCAACAAATGAGAGAAGAACACATTCAACAAGCATGTCTTGTGTGCTTCTCTTAGTGCCCACTCTTGTCTTGCGCAGACCATCCCCCGGACCCTGGGCGTCAAAGAACGACTCGGGATGAATTGTCAGGCCCATGGAAGGGGTTGATTTTCCCAGGGGGTCCGCGTCGCTGAAAGACAATGTCGGGGAAGAAGGACCGAGGATCGTAAAGCTCGAGTTTTTGGCACGTGTTTTGGGACCCCCACAGGCCTCCGGGGACTGCTGGGCGGGTCTGGGCATTTCTGGAAACTTCTGGGGACCTCAAGGGGCGTCGGGACACTTCCTCTGGTCAACGGCGGCGGTAACAACATCGTTCTAAGGGATCGTGTTCTCATTAGGTGGCCATCCCCCGTGAGGACGAGAAGACTGAAGAGGGGACGGAGGATGGGGGAAAAGGGGGCGGAGGGGAGGAGGATGATCGGGAGGATAAGGGAGGGGGCGGGGAAACAGGATGGGGGCTTGCGCTATGACGAGGAGGAAGGAAGGGAAGGCAGGGGGAGGGGGAAACAAGAGAAGGATTCACAGGCAGGTAGAGTACGGAGGAGCGCGCGTAGGAGGAGGAGGAGGAGGAGGAGGAGGAGGAGGAGGAGGAGGAGGAGGAGCAGGATGATGATGATGATGATGATGATGATGATGATGATGATGATGATGATGATGATGATGATGATGATGAGGATGATGAGGATGAGGATGAGGATGATGATGATGATGATGATGCTGATGCTGATGATGATGATGCTGATGATGATGATGATGATGATGATGATGATGATGATGATGATGATGATGTGATGATGATGATGATGATGATGATGATGATGATGATGATGATGATGATGATGATGATGATGATGATGATGATGATGATGATGGTGGTGGTGATGCTGATTATGATGCTGATGCTGATGCTGATGCTGATGCTGATGCTGATGCTGATGCTGATGCTGATGCTGATGCTGATGCTGATGAGGAGGAGGAGGAGGGACGGGGAGGAGGAGGAGGAGGAGGAGGAGGAGGAGGAGGAGGAGCAGGAGGAAGAGGAGGAGGAGGAGGAGGAAGAGGAGGAGGAGGAGCAGGAGGACGAGGAGCAGGAGGAGCTAGGAGGAGGAGGAGGAGGAAAAGGGGGAGTAGGAGGAAAAGGGGTAGGAGTATGAGGGGGAGGTGGATGGATAGGAACGAATGGGGTCGGGATGATGATTGCGCTGTTAAAGATGAAGGTGAGGGTTATGATGGTGGTGACGGTGGTACGACGGGCAGGAGGTGGACCCCGCATCTATCTTGGCTCCAGCGTCCTTCTGGCGCGCTCCTCCCCCCCGTCCCCATCCCCCCTCCTCCGCCTTCTCCTCCCCCTCCCTTCCGTGTCCCTCTCCCCCCTTCGTTCTCCCCATCCGCCCTCCTCCTCCTCCTCCTCCTCCTCTCCCATCCCCGCACCCTCACTCTCCTCCTCATTCCTCCCCTTCCTCCTCCTGGCCCCCTCCTCCTCCCATCTCGTCCCCTGCTCTTCCCGTCTCGCCCTGCCCCCTCCTCGTCCCCTCTCCTCCTCTCTTCTCCTCCTCCTCCTCCTCCCTCCTCCTCCTCCTCTTCCTCCTCCTCATCTCTCCTCCTCCTCTCTCCTCCTCCTCCTCCTCCTCCTCCTCCTCCTCCTCGTCCTCTCCTCGTCCTCCTCCTCCTCCTCCCCCCTCCTCCTCCTGGCCCTCCTCCTCCTCCTCCTCCTCCTCCTCCTCCTCCTCCTCCTCCTCCTCCTCCTGCTCCCCCTTCTCCTCCTCCTCCTCCTCCTCCTCCTCCTCCTCCTCCTCTCCTTGTCCTCCTCCTCCTACTCCTCCTCCTCCTCCTTCTCCTCCTGGACCTCTCTTTTCCTGGCCATCGTCCTCGTCCCGGCGCTCCTCCTCCTCCTTCTCCTCCTCCTCCTCCCCCTCCTCTCCTCCTCCTCCTCCTCCTCCTCCTCCTCCTGGTTCTCCTCCTCCTCCTTCTCCTCCTTCTCCTCCTCCTCCTCCTTTTCTCCCTCCTCCTCCTCCTCCTTCTCCTCCTCCTCCTCCTGCCCCCAGATCGCGGGCTCGCCTCACGACCGACCCCTCGCATGGGCGGCTGCCTCCAGCAGGCCGCTGCCGGCGCCGCGCTCCCGCCCGAGCGGAGCGGTGGCGCCGGCGGTGGCCGCGCCCGCGGCAGCGGGAGTCGGGCCGACTCCGCCGAGGAGGAGGCGGAGAGGCGGGCCGAGGAGGAGAGCAGGCGGTCAGAGGCTCGAGTTTCATGACTGCAGGCAATGTCTATATCCACATCCAGTGCGTCTTGGAGTTTCGGACTCTCTTCCCAAGAAACATGAGGCGCACTGGAGATGGATTATAATCTGCTCCAAAAAGGCAAGATTTTTATCCATATCCAATGCGCCTCGGCCTTGCGGCGCCCCTTCCGAGAAAGTCCAAGACGCACTGGATATGAATATAAACATTGCCCGCACCGACCAGCTCTTCCTAGAGATCCGACGCTCCGAAAAAATCGTGGCGGGCGGTTTTTGGCCGCTTCCGGCCTCCAGGGGCCCTCGCCGGGGCTCGGGAGCGTCAAAATAAGACTCGGGATGGAAAAACCGGCCCTCTAAGGAAGTGGTCTGGACCCCCTGGGCCCACGCATCCAAAAATTGGAGCAGCCGGATGTCTGGGCTCTTGCCTTGTAGTGCGTAGCCATGGGCAGTGTAACTGAAGTCTGTGCAGCATGCGATGGGCAGCACGACTCGTGCCAGCGAGTCTTCGCAGCTTCCGCTGTCCAGTACCAGCTGCTGTCGGTGGAAAAACCTAGACACCCTCGGGGAATGGCAAAAATCACGACGGGAGGTTTTTCTCGATTTTTGGCTTCTGGGGGCCATTACCGGCCCTCGAGACCGCCAAAAACCGACTCCGGATGTTAAACCAGTCTAGGGGAATTGGTCGAGACCTCTGGGGGTCGACGTTGTGAAAAAATCAGGACGCCGCATGTCTGAGAAGGCAGGCTGTCAGAGCCCCGGACCCCTCAGACCCGGGCGTTGCAATCTCGCCCACGCCGATCGATGCGGGTCGAGAAATGACGCAGAATGCTGGGGTCCAGGGCTGCGGCCGCGATTTGCTACACCGCCGGACCATCAGGGCCGCGGGGGGGGGTCCAGGGGTAGCGTCTGATTCGCGCCTCGGGGGCCCCGGACCGGAATTGCCCGACCGGAGCTATTGTCCGAGACAATTCGGGCGTCCAGCATCTCTCGAATCGTCGGTGCTGGGGGTGGTCAGGGGTATCTCCTGCTTCGTGCGTCCTGGGCCAATCTGAAGTTACCCCGGACCGGAGTTGGCCCAGAGAAGTTCTTCCAGCCCTTTTCCAGCGGCGAGCCTGGGGCGGAAGCGAGAAGAGGCGGGCCCTCTCAGAAGGCTCGGGCTTCCCCTGGCCTTCCGAGAAGTTTTCTAAACCTTCCCCGAAGACAGCGAACACCCTGAGCCTGTTTTTTTTAGATGCCAGTGAGTGTACCTGCATGGACGGAGGGGGGGTGAACCTGAAGCAAGCCAACAAAGATCTCCACGTGCCGAATTCACGCAAGTCGACAAGCACTTGCACGCTAGTGCTCGTCGGAAGAGGGGCAAGGGGGGTTGGGGTGAGGGGCGAATGCCATGCAAATGAACTTGCCCAAAGCTAAAAAACAGGCTCCTGTCAGAAGGCCCGGGCCCTTCTGAGAAGCCCCGCCGCCTTCTGAGACGGCCTTCTCCGTCTCACCTTCCCGCTCGCGGGCTCCGGGCTCCTCGTGTCCACGTCAGACCCCGCCCCTTGGGAAACTGGTTCGCAGGCGCCTGGAGTCCAAGAGAGTCTCGGCTCGAGGCCACAAGCCAAGGGGGGCCGTCCTACAGTCGGCCCGTATTATAAGGATGCGCGATAAGGATGCGAGGGCCTTGGACGCCCATTTCGAAGCTTTCCGAGCGGGGCGCGGACAACGAAAGTGGCCAGGGATGGGCCGAGGAGGCAAGGATGCAAGGGTACCCTTGGGAAGGTTGCCCATCCTCGCTGTGCGGGTTGACTGTAGGCCCCGTGGGGGGCCCGGGCCCCCAGGACAGTCCAAAGGACGATGCACGATGCGGGACGAGCGAGCCCAGATTTGCTCGCGTCGTGCAAAAAAAAAGCACTGCGGGAGGCTCTTGGACCGCTTTCGGCTTCCGGGGGCCTTCGTTGTGGCCCAGGCCCCCTCGCGCTGCAAAAAAATCACGACGGAAGGTTTTTCGTTCTTTTCGGCCTCCATGGGGCTTCGCCGGGCCTCGGGGCCGTCAAACAAGTATTCGGGATGGAGAACCGACCCCCTGGAAGGGGTCCAGATTTCTGAGGGTCACGTCATGAAAAAAATCACGACGTCGGGGGTTTGGGAAGCGTTCCCCCGGAGGGGGTCGAGAGGCTTCTGGCCCCTGCGCGCGAGAGCAATCACGACATCGACTTCGGATCTCTGGGGGGGGCGGAAGGAGGATCTTTCGAGTAACGGGATCGACTGCAGGATAGACGTGGCCCCCAGTTCGTTTGTCCCGTCGAGCTTGCGAACCGATGTCCATAGGTCTACAAGCACTCTGCGTGATCCTCGTCAGAAAAAACCAGGCATTCGGGGGCACATCCGTGCTGCAGTCGATCTCCTGCTCGAGTCTTGGCCCTTCTCCTCAGACCCCCGGCGTCACGATTTGTTCATAACGTCCACCCCCACAGGCCTGGATCCGTTCCCCCGGACCGGTTTTTCGGCCCGGCATACGGCCCGCCGAGGCCGAAGACAGCGGAGCACCGCCCGTCCGGATGTCTGTTTTGTGACCCGTGGAGATCCGGGTCTTTCCCTGTGTGTGTGGGGGGGCGCGTCTCCCCTCCCGGGTGTTGCTGGAGTGCGGCCTGTCCCTCTACAGGAGGAACATTCAGAAAAAATCGGAAAAGTCATGGCGTGGGGGCAACGTCATACTATCTGTAAGCTCTTTTTGTTGGGGGGGGAGGGGTATTTCCTCGCGCTCGCCCAGCATCCGCCTGCAGGCGGACATGCCCGACCTAATGTCAGAAGTGCGCCTGGCCCAAGGCGCCCCCTGGATTTCCCAGGAGGCACCCGCAGCCTCCCGAGCACCCCCATCACGGGGCCTGGCGGACCCCAGGGGGCGGCACCTTGGGCCGGAACTGAGCGAAGAGCTGGGGCGGCACCCTGGGCCAGGGGCAGCTTTGGCAGCCCCCGGCCCTCCGCGGCCGCCCTCGGCCCCCCCCCTCAGGAGGGGAAAAAACACACAGACACAATCAGTCGTCGACTCCCAGGAAAATGCGCGGAAATACGGGGAGTGGGGAGGGAGCCAAAAACGTAGAAAATATTGGAAAATATGGGGAATCTGTTTATTTGTGTCTATTTACTAATTTGTGTGTCCCAGGGCTCCCTCCCCCCCCCCGCGCCTCCGCGGGTCTTGCTTTGGTGCGCCGCTTGCGCCCCCCGACCGCGGCCGGCCCGCGCCGCGCGCTCGCCGGCGGCCACAAACCCAGAGCCCCTTTTGGCGCCGCGCAGCGGGGGGCGATCCTTGAGCAAGTGGGGGCACAGCAGGGGCTGCAGAAAGCCCAGACCTCCTCACGTTGGGAACGGATCGCGGCGAGAGGTTTTTCGCCGTTTTCCGCCTCGGGGGCCCTTCCCGGGTCTTGGGGGCTGTCAAAAATCGACCCAGGATGAAAAACTGGTCCTGGGGAAGGGGTCCAGGCCTCTGAGGGCCGACGCTGTTTTTATTTTGACAACTTGTGCTGAAAGAACGGACCACAAGCGACAGAAATCGGTGTCGTGCACCTCGGTGTTGGCTACCCGTATGGCGATCGTGAGCGAGCGTCCGCCATCTACCCCGTGTCCAATGCTGCTGGCAATGCCACGGTTGGATGTTTGAACATCTGACCAAGGAGCATGGCTACCAGCGCTGCACGGATTGCGACCGCTTCATCTACGAAATGGACTTGGGTGTCGGCCTCTGCGAGAGCCATCAGAGTCACTTGCCGCACGCAATTCGGCAGTTGATTGTTGGTTCCGCGGCCGCGGCTGCCTATGCCAATCAGACGCAATACGTCTACCTAACATCCAGTGAGGTTGACGTTATGCGTCGTGCCAGAGGCGCCGGACTGCATGCAAACGCACCAGATTCAACGTGCGACAGTAACACCCACTTCGCGACGTACCGCTTCGATGAAGCGGACCGCAAGGGACACCCTGCGTCATGTGCTGCCGTCGACCAACTTTTTTGGTTACCTGACTGCAGTGATACAGGCGGGCCGTGCAGGGTTCAAGAACAAGTACATTTGCACCCCCTGCCGCCTTGTCTACTACGTGTTCGGCTGGTCATATTCGTGAGGGCCGACGCTGTCGGAGGAAAAAACACAACATAGGAGGTTTGGGTAAGGGGCCCTTCAGGGCCCCTCAGATCCTTGCGCTGCAAAATTTGCGCAAAGGCCGTTTTCGCCAAGTCTAGGGACCCAGGACCTTCACATTTCGATCCGTCTTGAAAAATGTCCCAGGAAGATGAGGTCCAGGGCTCCGGTCGTGATTTCTACGGCGTTGCAAGTCTCTGCAACGTCGGATCATAGGGGCCCCATGCATGGGGACCTTTCGGGCCCAAGGGCCTTCAGGGCCCAAGGGGGGGGGGCCTTGAGGGGCCGAGAAGTGAAACTTGCTCCCTCCCCCAGCTGCGTCGCCCTCCCCCCCCACCCCCCCTAGACGCCCGACCCCTTCAGGTCACGACAGAAACCACGATGCGCGCTTTTTGTCGCTACGTTTGGGACCTGGGGGCCCTCGCCAGGGCTCGGGGCGGCCAAGGGGCGCTTCAGAAAACTGGCTCCCGGGGAATGGCTCGAGGCTTCTGGGGGTCGACGTCGCGAAAAAAAACAAAAACACAGCGGCGGGGGTCTGGGGCCCCCACCTTTCTGCGCTATTGCTGAGGCCGGATCGACGTGTGAGGGCCCCGGGGCCCGAGACGAGACGAAGACGGCCAGCTCGAGGCAGTTGGATCCTGTTTCGTTTAGATTCCGGCAAGTTCACTTGCGTGGACGGACGGCGAGGGCGCAAACGGGGTCGGCGGCGGCGGCGGAGACGAAAACTTCGCGGAGGACCACGGCGCGCGCTGGTGGCGACCGCCGCGACCGCCGCCATCGAGCTGCCCTCTGCTCCTCCTCCTCCTCCTCCTGCTCCTCCTCCCCCCCTCCTCATCCTCCTCATCCTCCTCATCCTCCTCCTCCTCCTCCTCCTCCTTCCTCCTCCTCCTCCTCCTCCTCCTCCTTGTTACGACTCCGGCATGGAACCTGCAGCAAGCCGCAAACATCCGCAAACGAGTGGCTTGTGCGGACATCACGCAAGTCGAATGACACTTGCACGCGAGTCTTCATGCGAAGAGGGGGCAGGGGGGGGGGGGGGGGGCGAACGGCATGCAAGTAAGCTTGCCAGAATCTATAGAACAGGCTGTTGAGGTGCACGTGCCCAGACCTCCGACGTCGTGATTTGTTTTCACAACGTCGGCCTGGACCCCTTCCCGGGGACCGGCTTTTCATCCTAGGCCGTTCCTTGACGGCCCCAAGGCCCAGTGAGGGCCCCTAGAGGCCGAACATGGCGAAAAACCTTCCGTCGTGATTCTTCACCACGCGAGGAGGTCTGGGTGGGCCGACGCCGGAGGCCCCCCTCCTCAGGAGTGGGAGCGCCGCCGCGGGGGCCCCTGGGCGGCCCTCGAGCGCGAGCGGCTGGAGGAGGCGGAGCGCCTGCGCGCCGAGGCCCGCCTCGCGAGCGAGCGGCTGGCGAGGCGGGAGGCCATCGAGCCCGGGGGTGCAAAGGTGGGGCCCTGAGGCACCCGGGGGGGAGGAGGAGAGAGAGAGAGAGAGAGAAAGATAAAGAGAGAGAGAAAGAAAACAAAATGAGAGAGAGAGAGAGAGAGAAAAGAGAG